TGATTGATTGATTGACTTAGGAGCCACACAGATGTTCTTTACCAAGCATATTTATTTATTGTGGTAATGTCTGAGCTGTTTTATACTAGCTAATAAAGTGATTTATTTGAGGGAAAAGGTGAATGAGTATAACATGTGTGCCAGTTTGTTTAGCTGTTTTAGAAAAGTCTTATTTTTATGCTTTCTTTAAAGGTTATTCTAACATACTAAGAGAATTATGCATTCTTGATTATGTTTTCTTAGCAAGTTCTAAATTATTCTTTGTCTCATTAAATTTTCCCAGTTATCTCTTTTGAACAAATTGTAATTCTCTTAGAGAATTGAGAGAACAAAAAACTCCTATCTATCTATATTTGTGAAATTTACTTCGGGAATCCACCTCCATGGAGCATCTATGTCTGATTAAGTAAGGCACTGTCAAAGACAAAAAGTTAAGTGAGTGTCATTTTTTTCTATTAATGGCTGAGTTCCCAGAATGATTCAGATTTTAGCCTATGATATCATCCTTATTTAAGTGTTTAGACAGGGAAATAAATACTTACAGAAATAGCAGAATAAAATCAAGAGGGAAGTAGAAATAACTCAAAAGAGTAACAGTCTAATTCAGGCTTTAGAGTGAATGCTGTATATTCAGTTTTCATTCAGAACATTGAGATTTCGTTGACAAATGCAGTTTGGGATTTCATTTTGTCTGACACTGACATTAATACCAGTAGAAAGCACCTGCTTTCATTTTCAGAGTACTTTAAGAAAGTTAATCCTGAGAAAGGGATTCTGGGAGATGGGAGGCTTGAATGCTTTCTGTGTTCTCTCCCCTTCTGATTCCAATTTATTTACCTCTCTTGAGCCAAGCAGCTTCTGAGGTCAGAAGGCCCTCAGGAATGAGGGAGAAAGTAGGTTCTGTGGAGTCCTAGTAGAAATCTGATGCAGAATTTTATCTCCTCTGTACCCTTTGAAAGCCTGGAAAACAATGCAAGAGAGGCCCCATATGAATGTGGCAGATCCTAGGAAGAGCTCAGTCTGCAAAAATCTTCCTTCCTCTCAGTTTTATGTCATAAAATGTTAATTCCCAAACAATAATGCAATATTAGTTAAAATTCCACAAGGACTTTTAAGGAGAATTCTTTGAAATTATTTTTAAATTACTAAATATGCAATTAATTTCTTAGATAAAAACTAATGGATGCCTGAGAATAGGGAGGACGAGTCTGAAAAATAGATTGGTTTTGATGATGTTAGAGAGTAACTAACATTACTCAACTTTAGAACACACTTTAAAGCCACTTCAGTACCATCAATATCATCCTAACATAAGGATAGATAAATACCTAAGTAGAACAAAATAGAACCTTTGTCAGCCAGAGTTCTTCACCTGAATCACAGAGCTCAGGGATCTCAGGAAATGATTTCGTTGTTTTCTTGATTTCCCCAAGGATAATACAGAACTAGTACCATTCTAGATGCATTGGAGAGAAGTCCATTTATTGTATATAGTGTATGTGTTAGGCATTAGGGCTTCATTCTTTCACAGAATCTAGGTTGAGAGAGACTAGATTAACTCAGAACTATAAAATTAAATATAGGGTGAAGATGGAATTTCACCTTTGTGAAAGATTTTTTTTTCTTTTAGTAATAATAGTATGAACACAATTGACTATCCATATGGGAGAAGATGAACTTGAACCCTTATGGCACTTCATGTATGAAAAAAATTCCAGGAAATTTCATGACTTAAATCTAAAAATGAAAGCAAAAATCTTAGAAATTTTTGAGTTCCACATGTAAAAATGTATGGATTAGGAAGAGCATCTTAAATCAGTAGACCTAGAAATTTTAGTTGCTTTTTCTTTTAAGGACAAATTATATCAAATGCAATGTCTTTTCTCTAATTTTTTGAAAAGACACCATAAATACATAATGTCAATATGTAAAAATAGATGTTAAAGAATACTTGAAATACAAATGACAACTATTTAAGTGTCAATTATAGACCACGTGCTCTTCTAAACTAATGGGAAAACAAAACCACAATAGAAAAAAATAGAAAATGATACAGGTAGGTAATTCTGTTCATGTAGAGCTCTAGAACAGGAAACACTTTCTATAGTGATAAAAATCACTCCATGGTTGCCTAGGATAGTGAATGGGAATTGCCTGCAAAGGGGCAGGGTGGAATTTTCTGAAGTAAAGGGAATGTTCTGTGTCATTGTGGAGATGATTATATTGGCAGGTCTTGGACCTATATATTTAAATGTGTACTTTTATGTATGTATGCTTCAAGAAAGTTGATTTAAAACTATAGTTGATACCCTTAAATGCTAATATTTTAAAAGGATGTTAGCACCTATTGCTGTTAGGGCTGTGGACAAAAGGATGTTCTCTTTTCTTGCACAAAAGTGAATTTTTATAGCCTTAATGGTGGCAACTTTGAAACATCTAATAAGATAAAAATTAATATCTTTCCAGTAGTCCTGTTTCTTAGACTGTTCCATAGGAATAAAAGTCCCAGTACATAAAAACATGTATGCAAATATGTTTAATGCAGCACCATTCTTAGTGGCTAAAACCTGTGTACCAAATAAATGTCCATTAGTAGGGGAATGGCTGATGAAACTGTGGGACATATTTATCATATGGTATTATATAACCATTTAAAAGGATGGGTTCAATCTGTATCAGGAAGAATATCCATAAGTTACTGTTAAGGGAGAAAAACATGAGGCATATAAGGAAAGCAAATAGGCTATTTCGTTTTTTAAAAGGAAATAGTGCTCTAAAAAAAATCCTATAAAGATGGCATGTTTTAATGTATGTGCAAAAAAAACACAAAAAACAGAAAAATTCAAGGATATATTCCAGATCCTAAACACAGCTTACCTAGTGTGAAAGGCAGGATGGGGGAGGGGGAGAAGAGAGGAGCAATGGAGAGGAGGAGTGGTGCACACAACACGACTTATCTGAAAAACATCAAAACAACACACATATAATTTCCCATCTTTGCAGAATATCATATATCTTCATAAACCAGAAGAAAAGTTAGGTTTTTATGTCCTGTCTTACAGGGGATATTCAAAATATACATTCAAATTTTAGAAAGATGTTGCAAAGTAATGTTTATAACATTCTTCTATTTTAGTAAATAAACAAGATCCTCTGTAGATGAGCTCTTATTTTCAGATTGCTTTCAGTTTCTCTTAGAAACTTTCCAAATATAATCCTCTTGATTTCCAGGCATCAAAAGTGGATGTCCATTTATGTTGGAGTGGTATGATCAATGCAGAAAGATTAGTTCTGCTCTCTCCAGTATCACTCCTTTGGTCCCATAGAGTGGATGCTACTCAAGGGCAGATCTGCACAGATTGTGGAGTCTTTTGATAACAGTGCATGAGAGAATAAGAATTGAATATTTCTAGCTCTTGGGGTGTGCTGAAGTTCCAGTTGGTTGTTCCAGGTGGAGAACATTTGGTTTTCCCTAGAGCACATATAGGAAGGCACTGTCAGGTCTCAGTTGGTGTCGTTCAGCCCTCTTTTTTTCCCCTTCTACCTGTACATTTTATACTTTTATTTCACTGACTCTGGAGGGTGAGAGTATACAACTAACTCTGAGATGGTCCAAGTGGTAAATATAGGAGGAATTCTGCATCTGTGATCATCCCTGGTTTAGATTTCTTTGAAATTATGATGGGTACTTTTAGCACTGGTTGTGTTTTCCAGGGCTTTCTTGCACAGGACATAAATCCTGTTTTCACTGTCATGTAAAGGGAAAGCATACTTTGCCACGTGGAAAACAGTTTTTTTGATTGAACCCTCTTATCCCTCATCTTTGGGAAACCTTCTCTGTGTTTATCTTCTGTATCCTGCTATACCTCTATGTTTGTTTACAGGAATGTCTAAGGTTGTTTTCATTCCCCTTCATTAACCTTTACCAACATCGGACATGAACACAGGAACCCTTAACCCCATTGTAATTGGTTAAAACAGAATATTTGTAATACCTTGCCATATACACACACTCACTCACTTTAACAGAGCATTCCAGAGTAGGAATATACAGTGAATGGGTGAAGATTCACTAATACTATAACCATCTCACCTCATATGTAAATATAAAGCATCTTGTAAGATCAGTTTTGTTCAACAGAGCACCCAGTTCAGAGCATCTTATCACATAAAACGTAAGTCCCAACGAGGCACCCAGTTTGAGACCCAAATGATGCAAACAGTATGGATAGCTGTTTGATAAGTGCTTCCAAAGATTATTTGTACCCCATTAAATTCTCATTTCAAGGTCCCTGAGAAGACCAAAAAAAAAAAAAAAAAAATAGAAGTTCTAACTCTTGATTAAAAAAAAAAATTGAGCCCTCATTCTAAGGATCATCTGGATGTGATTAAGAAAGCTCTTAAAATATTAACTCATCTTTTCATACTTAAGTGCTACAAGTTAACCACCTTTTAAAAGCATTTTGGTGAATCATTTTTTTCCCCTCTTGAGATATTAAACTTTTTGCGGGGACAAACATTATTCAGTTGGTTATGAATACTAAAATATTGATCCTACATTAAGGGGGGGAAGGGACTAACGTAAATCAAAACAGAAATTGAAAAAAAAATGGTAGACCTGATCAGTCATTTAAATTGAGCAGAAAAAAATAAACACGTGTACACTATGTATATTAATTATATAATTATATGTTATACATATATAATTCCTTTTTCATGGGAATTCTCTGGAGAATTTATGAATCTGAAAAGATGGAGAGAAATAGGGAAAGATGATGAGTTGGCATTAGGAAATGTTAATGGAATCAGTGTAAGTATAAGCAAGTAAGTTAATGCAATATGCATGAGACTGCTTTCAATATGAACTCTTTATAAAACTTGGAGGAAATTGAGATTATTCAACACAGTAGTGTTTTAGAAATTGAAACATCCATTTTAATAACATTCCCTTTTCCTTTGTTTTCTTTTTGGTTTTGTTTGTTTGTTTTGGTTTTAAACAGGCCATATACTCCTATGAAAGGAGGAATCTCCAGTGTATGGTTTGACCGACTTAAAATATCTAATGACTGCCCAGAACACCTTGAATCAATCAATGTAATGTGTCAGGTGCTTACTGATTTGATTGATGATGAAGTAAAAAGTGGGATCAAGAAGAATAGAATATTAGTAGGTAAGACCTTTAAATGTTGGTAATTTAAGTTTCTTTCAATTTCGTCTATTTCAGTACATTGAACTTTACTTGGAATATTATTTAGAAACACTTGTATATCACTTGATGTGTTCATAGTTTCAAATAAGAGTTTACATAATAAGGGTTTCAAAAATGTTAAACAACAGCTCATGAAACCTTAATTTATTTTCTTTCTGATAGTAACATAATTTGAGAATTCCATGCTCAAATTTCAATTAAGAGATTTTTCACTTCAGTTTTTAAAATATTTTATTTTAGTTAGCTTAAGTTTTATAAATATGTTTAAACTATTGCCATGATTAAGGTAGTATACGCAGTCAAAATGTAATATAAAATCCATGAAAAGTAAACTCTTCAGACTTAGTATCACAGGAGTAGGGCATTTATAAACTCCTTTTAAACATACCTTCAGCAATTCCTGTTTCCAAGAAAATATAAAGTACCTTTAGATAAGCTGTTTATTCTACTTAATGCCCTTTTCTTTCTCTGTAATCATTAAATACATAAACTATTAAAATCTCTATTTCTATAATACATAGGAAAATGAGATTGGCTGGGTAGGATGTGGACGGTACAGGACATATTTTGGTGAAGGAGTTTTATTTTCAAATACAACTATTCAATTTATAATGAGTTGTATTTAATGATGAAATTATAAAGCAAATTAGCTATCTCTATCATACTCTAAATAACATTAAAATGCACACTGAGATCTCGTATAGACAAGATTTGGGTAAATTAATAAACTTCCTTTGTGTTTATTGAAGTACTGAACTAGTCATTCAGTTGAGAGGCAGTATAATAATACATTGAATAAAATCCATTCTCTTCTGGCTTGCCTTCAACTTCTACTTTTGTTAGTTAAAAGCAGTGTGCACTCAAGCCCAGCAACATTCCCTTTCTGGTCCTCTGTTTCAACATTAAATGGAGAACAACAACAACAAAAAAAGTAGGAATAACAGTACAAAGTCTGTTTTACTGGGAGGCGATGTTTGTGAAATACATGGCTCATTCTGGATTTCAAAGCCCATGATTGTCCCATTCAGTTAACCAAACAATTTTAAGACTTCTAATACATATTGTCAGATTCCTTTCACGAAAAAATTGTACCTATTGATACTTCTACCACCCCTATTACACTGTCCATCATATTAAATCCTCACTGAATAATATTGTCTTGAAAAAAAATTTGCTAAAAATAAGGTAAATTTGTACTTAATTTGTTATTTTCCTTCTAATTTTGTTATATTTTAACACAGGAAAGCTTTTCTTAGTTGTCTATTGGTCTTTCTTCTTACAATTTTTCTTTTCCAAATAAGGTCTCAGTTTAAGAAAGTCTCTAAAACTTGGGTAAATATTCAAATAGATTTTCTACTCGTTTTCTATAATGTGATTTATTTTTTTTTACATGTAATTTTTGGTTCATCTGGAATTTATTTTGCTTTCTTTTTACCATGTCATGGAAGTATTATTTTCTGAAGTACCAAGAGAACCTTGTTAAAACATCATCTTATTTATAAAGCATTCAGTAATATACTCAGTATTTTATCAAAACTCCATTGAATTTATAACAACAAAATTTCTTTTTGGTAGCTTTGTAGATGATTACATTATAAAATGATAAAACTTGAAATTTATGACAAAGCCATGTTAAAATATTAAAATATTTACATATTATATTATTTTATGAATATAAAAAGCTAGGAAAGAAGGTATTTTTTTAGAATTTGTGAGTTGAGCTAACTTCTATAAGAAAGCCTCTTTCCTCATTTGAGATGTGAAAGAAAGTGCAGATGCAAGGTAGTTTGTTCTTGTTACCTGTATTGTTAGTTATTTAACTAGTCAATGAACATAAATCTTCAGGAACAGTTCTGTAGCATTAAACATGTACCCCAAACTACACATGATCCTTGACCTCTTATACTATGACAAAACATTAGTTATATTACCTCCTTTTTTTTTTTAAAGATTTTATTTATTTATTTGAGAGAGAGAGAGAATGAGAGAGAGAGAGCACCAGAGGGAAGAGGGTCAGAGGGAGAAGCAGACTCCCTGCTGAGCAGGGAGCCCGATGCAGGACTCAATCCCGGGACTCCAGGATCATGACCTGAGCCGAAGGCAGTCGCTTAACCACCTGAGCCACCCAGGCGCCCAATATTACCTCCTTTTTTGTGTATGGGATTCTTTACATAGGTTAACTCTTAGTGCAGAGAGGAAGTAGCATTCCTGTCCTGTGGGGATTTTTTTGTTGTGGTTGTTATTTGCTCATCTTACTGACCTAACTGAACCACCCATTTATTTGAAAATTGTGGCACAAGAAGCAGTGTCACTGTGTTCAAATATGTGTACATGAATTCCCTGCATTATGCATATCATAATTGCAAATGCGCTGATGCAGCTGATGGCAGTAGAACACAGGCAAGAACCAGGGCTCTGGACTCGGCCTGCAGATTTCCAACCTTAGACTCACTACTTTGTAGGTATAGAATCCCCTTAGCCTCTGTGCTTGATGATAATAATAGTACCTGTCTTACAGAGTTGTGATGATTGAATTAGTCAATTCATATGAAGTACTTAGAAGTGTGTCTGGCATAAGACAGGCTTCTTGCTGTTATTAAATAGTCTTTATACTCCTTACGCCATGGTCACTCCAAACAGCAGAAAGGCCCTACTGGGCCAGGCCTGCCCCTGGGAGACTCAGGTAGCTCACTGCTTCTTCCCTACCAGCTGTCTTCATTTTTTGCTCAGTGGTGGACATGCTGTGTTTTCCTCTTTCTTTTTCATAGATTATTTAAACTTAACATTAAACATACTGCTTAATGTTTTTCTACTGGTTTTTGTACTTTTGTGTGTGTCTCTCTCTCTCTCTCTCTCTCTCTATATATATATATATATATATAGTACATTTGAGGTGAAGTAAGATTTAAGTGCTATTCATAACATTTTAAAGAAGGAGGGATTCAGTGGGAAGTCAAAGAAAAATGCATTTAAGATTCTGAACAATTTTTATTACATACACACATATGCACCACAGTGAGGTTGGGTTATTTTTAAAAAAATAATTGTAAAAGGAAAAACTAGATAATTTTAGGATCAGAAAGGAAAAACATGGAGATAATAGGTACAAAAATTGTTAATCCTTATTGATTTTGTTTAATATGTGATAAAATTTCTGATTTAATATCATACAATATATGTTGATAGAACCCTTATCTCTGAGGTTATATGCAACCAGCGTAGCTTTGTAAAACAACACTATTCTCTATATTTGGGTAGGTGGGAAGCTATTCATTGTGGTTTTATTTTGATGAGTGGTATTTTATTATAATAAACTTAGTTTTAAAAAACAATTGTTTTAATAATATATGTTTTCCAGACTGTTTTTGGATAGTGTACCTAGCTTGATCAAGTCAAAGATGGTACTTCTCATACCAAACCTGATCTCCAAATTATTAATAAAAATGTTAAATATTGGAGTATCAAGAAAACTATCAAAAATTTTACAGCCTAATGAGGGAGATACAGAAATAAGGTGCTTTAATACAGTATATTGTGGAAGTGTATACAAGGTACAATGTGAGCAGTGAGGAAAGACAAGTAAATCTTTGGGGGAGTTAGGGACTGCTTCTTAGAAGAGAGAACTCTCCAACTGAGGTTTTTTTTTTTTAAGATTTTGTATTTATTTGATAGAGAGATAGCAAGAGAGGAACACAAGCAGGGACAGAGGGAGAGGGAGAAGCAGGTTTCTCATGGAGCAGGGAGCCCGATGTGGGGCTCGATCCCAGGACCCTGAGATCATGACCTAAGCCGAAGGCAGGCGCTTAATGGCTGAGGCACCCAGGCGCCCCTCTCCAACCGAGTTTTAAAGAATGAGTAAAAATATGACTGATAAACACACTCATGCAAGAAAGGAAGGGCACATCAGAATCTCTCAGGATATACTAGTTTAGTATGCACTACAATTCCCGAGGATTATTGAATTAGATACAGAGAATAACATGATTGAATGTGCATTTCAGAAAGCTTATGCTGATAACGCGGTGGAGGGCAGGCCAGTCTGAAGGCCAGGAGAACACAAGGTGGCTAAATAGATCCAAGAGAATGATGGCGATTGACACACACACTGTTTCCAGATTTAGGGAACACAAAGATGAATAAAGTTTATACTGAAGGCCATGATAATCAACTGCAAGCGTTAGCTGTGAAAACAAATTGTTGGTTTTCTAGGCATCAGTGGAAATAGATTGCCTTCTTCATGGAAAAAATAAATTAACTTTGGTTGGATAGGAAGAACTAGACAAAAAGTTCACTACCCATCCTACTGTTGGGGTCAGATACAGCGGGGTGGCCTTGGGGACATCCGTGAATCCTCACTCTGTACAGTAAGACTCTCAGGCATAAGAAAGTTTCCTTATTTAATTTTATGTATTTATACCACACATGATTCTACAGAGTGTATGAGAAAAGTTAGGGGAAATGTGGGCAGTAAAATAGTAACTTTAAATCAGTTTCTGATTGTTGACAATATAGTTACTGTAATAAACCGTTGGTTCAAATCTTGTATCCTGAAAAAATTATTAATAATGCTAGATTATCCTGTCTTCTTGTTTTATTAACATGTGGGGAGTGTCTATCATGCAGAATGTAAGCAAATTCATAGTACTACATTCTGTCTCTCTGTTAATGTCAGTCCTGAAACTCATTTCCTTCTGATATATTTCTGTATAATGTGAGAAATCATAATGGAGAAAGGTATAATTTTTCCCATTTGTACTGTTGTGCTTCAAAAGTATATACAGTAGTAATACTACTAAAATAGTTGGCATTTATATCACACTTGACAGTTTTTAAAAATTGCCATTATTAATACATCATAATGTTTTATTTTCAGATAGTGTTTAAATTATAAGGTTGTTTTCATGCACAGTATCTCTTTTGAGCCTTGTAATAGGTAAAACAAGAAATTATTATTCTCATTT